ATTTTCGAATGCCAGGAGCCAGATCTTGTTGATGGATCCGCTTCCTCCTCTCAATAAGGTGTTTGCTCTAATTTTACAAGATGAAAGACAGAAGGAGGTTGTTGCTAAGAAACAGCAGAATTTTGATGCAGCTGCTTTTGCTGGGAGAATGATTCATAACTCATTTACTAACCAAAGGACTCACTCGTTTAATCAGTCACAGAGGAGAGACAAGCCTATATGCACCTACTGTGGAATGATTGGGCATCTTAGGAGCAAATGCTATAAGATTGTTGGCTATCCTCCTGGTCACAGACTAGCAAGAGGAAAGGATCCAGTTGCTAATGCTGCTGGTTTCATGTCTCGCGATTCTAACTCTGAAGTTGCTAATTCAACAGTTGCTAATTCACTATCGAATCTCACCATCACCCCAGGACAGTGTCAACAGTTGTTAGCCATGATTGCTCCTCATCTAAAGGAACAAGTCTCTACTGGCAGTCCACAGCTTCGTGAAGTTGTTTCATCACCATCACAAGTACCACAAGTACCAGATGCTTTTGCTTTCTCAGGTAATCGTACCTGTTTTAATGATTCCATAGCTGGAGAAAAATGGATATTGGACACAGGAGCCTCAGAGCACATGGTTTGCTCTATCAAACACCTGCTCACTGTGAATGCAAAAATTAATGCATCTGTGAAATTACCAGATGGTTCTATTGCCACAGCTACACATATTGGAACAGTGAAGTTGTTTAATGGTTTAACATTGATGAATGTTTTAGTTGTGCCATCTTTTCAATTCAACTTGATCTCTGCTAGTAAATTGATACTTCAACACAACTGCTTCATCATGCTCATACGTGGACATTGTTTTATTCAGGATCTTTCAACATGGAAGATGATTGGGGTAGGCAAGCTTGAGAATGGGCTATACAACCTTCAACAATCTGATTCTCTTCAACAATCTGACTCTCAGTGCAATGACCAGTCTTTATATTTTCATCATCACAACATTTCTCCTATTCCTGTCGTTTCATCCAATCTCATTTCCCAGTCGAAATGTAATAATTCAGCATCTGTTGTTTGTAATTTCATTGACAATATTGATGTTCACAATAAAATTGATATTTGGCATTGCCGCTTAGGGCACTTACCTGTCTCGAAGTTATCTTCCTTATATAAAATTGCTCCACATATTACTTTCAATAAACATATACATTGCTCGATTTGCCCATTGGCCAAACAACACAGACTCCCCTTTCCTGATAGTAACACAAAATCTTCTAACATTTTTGAACTCATCCACTGCGACATCTGGGGGCCATATTCTGTCCCTTACCTAGATGGATCAAAATACTTTCTAACTATTGTCGATGATTTCAGCCGCATGACCTGGACTTATCTCTTACGTGAAAAGTCTCAAACTAAGTCCATTCTTCAGTCTTTCTATCATTTGGTTTTAACACATTTTAAGTGTAAAATCAAACACCTTCGGTCTGATAACGGATTGGAATTTGTCATGCCTGATTTTTATCATGATAAAGGGATTATTCATCAATTGAGTTGTGTTGAAACTCCACAACAAAATGGAGTGGTTGAGCGTAAACATCAACACCTTCTAAACATTGCCAGAGCTCTTAAATTCCAGGCCAGTTTACCTAACAATCTTTGGGGGGACTGCATTCTCACTGCCACACATTTGATAAATAGAATCCCCACATCTGTCATTGGAAATAAATCCCCCTATGAGATGGTTTATCAAGCCACACCATCCTACAATCATCTTAAAGTTCTTGGTTGTCTTTGCTATGCTTCTACTCTTAAAAGAAATCGAACCAAATTTGATCCAAGAGCTACTCCTTGTGTTTTCTTAGGTTATCCTTATGGCATGAAAGCCTACAAATTGTACAATCTTCAAACACATGTGACTTTCACTTCAAGGGATGTTTCTTTTCATGAGACCATTTTCCCTTTTCAAAATCCTACATTTCTTAGTTCACTGTCTAACTCCTCTGTGACTCATCATCCTAATCAGCACCTATTTTCCACTTTACCTCATTCCTTTCATGACATACTTGATTCTCCCAATTCTATACATACCACTGGTGAGGATGTTCCTACTATCACTCACTCCAATAGTCATCATTCTCATGATTTTATTCAACCTGGTTCTCCATTTACTTCAGAAAATACTTCTTCCTCAACTATCTCCTCTTCCCCAGACACATCTTCTTCTGACACAGCTTTTCTTCCACCTCCTCTTAACACTCGCAGATCCAACAGATCCAAAAAGGCTCCCTCTTACCTGCATGATTATCATTGTGGTCTGGTCTCTCAGATGCCTTCCCCCCAATCAAATTCCGTGATGATTAATCCTGTCTCTAGGCCTCAGTATCCTTTGGCAGACTATTTGGGTTATGGTTCATTGTCTCCTTCCCACAGAGACTATGCTATTGCCTTATCCACATTGAAGGAACCTCAGTGCTTTATTGATGCAGCCAAGGATCCTGATTGGTGCAAAGCCATGGATGTAGAGTACAATGCTTTGGTCTCCAACAACACTTGGTCTGTGGTTCCTATGCCTGCTCATAAAACACCTGTTGCTTGCAAATGGGTTTTCAAGGTTAAGCTGAATTCGGATGGTACTGAGGAGAGAAAGAAGGCAAGACTTGTAGCCAAAGGATTCACCCAACAGGCAGGTTTGGACTATGAGGAGACTTTTTCGCCAGTTGCCAAACTTGTCACGGTGAAAACCTTACTTGCTGTTGCTGCACAGAGACAGTGGCATCTTCATCAACTTGACATTAACAATGCTTTTTTGCACGGTGATTTGGAGGAGGAGGTGTATATGACGATGCCCCAGGGCTATGAGCAGGAGGGAGTCCATGGTGAGAAATTGGTCTGCAAGTTGAACAAATCAATTTATGGCCTTAAACAGGCATCCAGGCAGTGGAATGCAAAATTGTCTTCATACATCATTTCCCAAGGGTTTAGACAGTCGAAGTCTGATTATTCATTGTTCTGTAAACACGAAGGCTGTTCTATAACCACACTTCTCGTTTATGTTGACGATATTATTATTGGTGGTAATGATCTTGCTTACATCGAACAGTTTAAACGAGGTTTGAATGACCAATTCAAACTGAAAGATCTGGGTATTCTAAAGTACTTTTTAGGCCTTGAAGTGGCGAGAAACTCCAGTGGCATATCTATTTGTCAAAGGAAGTATGCATTGGAAATTTTAACTGACTCAGGGTACCTTGGTGCTAAACCTGCTAGCTGTCCATTACCACAGAATCTGAGGTTAAGTAAAGATGGTGGGGAAGCTATTGTAGATGCCAGTGTGTATCGGAGATTGGTAGGGAGGCTTCTCTACTTAACCATAACAAGGCCTGACTTATCATATGCTGTACAGGTCCTCAGTCAGTTCCTTCAAACACCAAGGCAACCTCATCTGGAGGCAGCATATCAGGTGTTACGTTATCTGAAGGGAACACCTGGGCAAGGTATATTCTTTGCTCAAAAATCTGATTTGCATCTTAAAGGTTATTGTGACGCTGATTGGGCAGCATGTTCCGACACCAGGAGGTCTATCACTGGTTACTGTGTCTTCCTGGGAAATTCACTAGTCTCCTGGAAATCGAAGAAACAACACACAGTGTCAAGATCTTCAGCTGAGGCAGAGTATAGATCAATGGCAGCCGCTGTCTGTGAGTTTAGTTGGCTGAGAAATATACTTAAAGATCTAGGAATTTCACACACTAAGGCTGCCTTGTTGTTTTGTGACAATCAGTCCGCTTTACATATAGCCAGTAATCCCGTTTTTCATGAACGCACGAAGCATATCGAAATTGATTGCCATTTGGTGCGTGATAAGGTTCAAGCTGGTGAAGTGAAAACCTTGCACATTGCTTCACAGGAGCAGTTGGCAGATTTATTGACAAAACCGTTAGGTGGTGCCAAGTTCAAGTCCTTGTTACTCAAGATGGGAATTTTGAATATTCATTCTCCATCTT